GCGATGCGCGTGGAATAAAAAAATCAATTTAGAAAAAAATCGAATTTAGATCAAAAATTCTAACGTGTTCCCTTTTTTAGATTAAAGACTAGCAGCATTGAGGGTCCGTCGTTGCCCGTGAAAAAAAAGGAAATTTATGAAAAAAAATTATTTTTGAAAGAAAATTTTTTTTAAATTGAATTTGGATAGAAGAACATATGAGGGAAGAGCTGTATTATATAGAAAACATATACACGTTGTGACCTGAGTAAGATAGTTGGCAGCTCTCCATATACCCTCGCTCTCAGCTATACCAACCAGAAATGGAACAGGATGAATTTGACCAACCTAAGAACATCAAAATATTTCAAATATTTAGGATTTATAAAAATGGAAAATCATAAATAAGTAAAACAAAGATTACCAAATCTAATCTTTCTTTCTGTCATTTCTTATCAGATTATACATTAGTTTAATAAATAGGGTTCCCCATTTTGCAACAAAATATAGAAATATATTGTCTCACAAATAACTCTCCCAGGCTAATATTGTTCTCTATGGTGTCAGTTTTCACAGGATATTTGTTTAACCTATGGGAAGTGGTCGTGCAAGGCCCCGCGAAAAAGTGTACATAGCTCAAAAAAAAAATATTTCTTGAATTTATCATGTATTATATAATTTTCTCCGTAGTTGTCTAAAAAGATTAAATCCATTGAAATTTAAAAAAAATTAAAAATATTGACTGAGTTAATTTAAAAAAATCTCCAAAAATGTACTTTTCTTTACCATGTTTTTCGGTCTAACTCAGTCAATTTTTTAAATTTTTAAAAACTTCAATGGATTTCTTTTTACTTTCTTTTTTAGAAATATCTAATGTAATTTAATGAAAAAGAAACCTCCATGTAGTGTTGTTAATCGTTTCAGATAGTTTTTAAAACTTTTAATAAAATCAACCTTTGAAATATTTTTAACCTATAAAATAGAAAAACGATCATAAGACGATCGTTTTAACACTTTAGTTTTGAAATAGTCTTTGAGTTGTTTTTTTCTTAATTTTCTGTCAGGTCAACATTTTAATGTAATTTCAATATTTGTTTAAAATAAATAAAACAATTGTTTTTCTTTGACTATTCCAAATTTGGACCCTAAAAGAAAATATAAATAAGAAACCATTCAAAATTAAACCAACGGAATGCACATCACTACCTCCATGGCAAGAGTGGGCTGTACAGGAAGAATGGCGTCTTCCCCGGCCTCAGGGTCAGGTCTAGGAGACCAAATATTCATTGGTTCTGTCTCCATCTAAATATTTTACTTTAAAGGGACTGTACGTGTATTTTCAAGAGACCCTAAATTATAGGAATAGAATGTCAATTTACAACGGTACCCTAAAAAGCTTTATCTGAAACAGTCTGAAAAGGAATGAATTAGTTATAAAAACGGAATTTTCAATTGTTGTTTCCACAACAAAAATAAACCGCTTTAAAAATTTTAGTTCATTAAAAATGGGTAAAATTTTTTAATTTACTATTTGTTTTACCTTTCCTGGGCGCCAAGCGTAAAGTTGGTTTTGAGCTTTCATAATTTCTACTGCTGGTTTAGAGCGTAGGCATTCCAGTAGCTTAGCAGAGCTATCAATAGGACAGTTGACCGCTTCAGCTAGGCTTACGGTGGTTCTTCGTTGGTTGGGTAGGTTTGCCCACCAACAGAGTGCAGAACCTAGAAATGAAAAAATAAATAAAAAAATTCCAAACAAGAATGGAAAAAAACTTAGAGAAAAAATGCATTACCAAAATGATTAATTACCATCATGTACTAAACATTTATTAAAAAAATAGTTTTCCAAGTTTAAACTTATAGGTTGCAGATCACTGAGCTGAATATTTGCAAGATATTATGAAAAATTTTAGCTTAAAAATGGAATTATGCCTCCAACAACCTTTTTTCGGAAATATAAACATTCTCCTATGTAAAAATAAATATGATTGGGAAAAAAATATTATGGTATCAATTGCTGCTGTTCTTGAAATACCTGACATGGAAACTGCTCCATTGAATAGTCCTGCTGCTCTTGGAGACAGAAGATGGTAATGTACTGATGCACCTCCTGATAAATTAATTCAAAAATTTTATTTCAAATTGAGGAAAAAATTCGGTAATAATTAAGTTTTCTTGTAATTTTTTGATACAGGGTTCTCCTCTGAGGATGATAATTTTAAAATTTCGAAATCCTAAGTTGAAATCATTTAAAATCAATGTTGCAATTTTTAAGTTAAGAATTATTTTATTGAGGAGCTTTTACTTACTCTCCTCAAATCAAAACTTTTATAATTTTACAAAAGTTTTATTTACTAAAAGTTAGTGTTAGGACCAAACTGTATTTTTTCTTATAACATAATTTTAACACTATCGTCCAACAGTAAAATAAAATTTTCCCCCGTGGGGGTAAATAAAAGGCAAATTCTATAAGTTGAAAGATTATCTCTAATAAGAAAGATTATCTCTAATAATTTGAGTAAATTTATCGGTGAGGGAAAAAAAACAAAAAAAAATTTTATGAAACATGTTTAAATCAAAAATAAGTGGGTTGAAATAATTATTTTTAACAAAATAAAGGAAAATAAGACATAATTTCAAGTGACCCTCCATTTAAAAATAGGAATATCTGATTAACACCAGTACACTTCACGTCTCTTAGCATGGTCTAGAACGAATCTTTCTGTGCATAGTTCAACATTTGCTAAGACTAAAAAATGACGATGTCGTCATTGTTTTAAGCTGATTTTAATCGGAGATGCCGAGTTTTTTAAAAGGTCATTTGAAATCACACCTACTGTCCCTTTAAAACTCAAAATTCAAAATTGGTGAATTTCTAGAACTGATAAAAAAATTATTGTAATGATAAAGAGTAAATGCTACATTATTTTGAAGAAATGAGTTATCTACGTTTTGGAGGAAAAAATGAAAAATTTCTTCCCCCTTCTAAATACTTTTTACCCAAAAAATCATTTTGCCATTACCTAGAAAATATTCATTTTCTCGAATTCAGCAAAAAGAAAACAACACAAAATTTAATCATTTTGAATATAAGGGAAAAAAGTTTTTTTTTGTAAGAAGTGGGGGGGGGAGAAGGTAGAAAAAATGTTACATAAAATACATAAGCTAAGAAAGCCTACCTGCTCCAGCATATACTTTGCACCAAATCCTGACACTCCCCCGAAAATAAATGCCCCTCCATGAATCCAAAATATAACTGGTTTCTTCGCTGTCACAGATGTACTCTAGATAATATAAATCTGATTAGTCTAATTAGTCATTGGATTCTTTCACGTTTACTTATTCATCCTTTTATTCTTGGTCATTGGATTCTTGGACAATTACTTATTCATCCTTTTATTCTTGGTCATTGGATTCTTGGACGATTACTTATTCATCCTTTTATTCTTGGTCATTGGATTCTTGGACGATTACTTATTCATCATTTTATTCTTGGGCATTGGATTCTTTCACGTTTACTTATTCATCCTTTTATTCATGGTCATTGGATTCTTGGACGATTACTTATTTATCCTTTTATTCTTGATCATTGGTTTCTTGGATGATTGATTATTCATCCTTTAATCCTTAAGTCATTGGATTATTTCCTTTAATTTTTAGTCATTGGATTCTTAGACATTATTGTTTACATTTTCATCATTGTTAACCTAGCCATCCTTAATCATAGGATTCTTGGACATCATTGTTAACCTAGCCATCCTTAATCATAGGAGTCTTGGACACTATTGTTACCTTTGCCTTCCTTGTATTTTAGTCATTGGATACTTCAACAATATTGTTAACTTTGCCATCCTTGTATTTTAGTCATTGGATTCTTGGAAATGTAAATACAATTATACCTTTGTGAATATATTAATGTAAAGACAATTATACCTATGTGAATATATTAATGTAAAGACAATTATACCTTTGTAAATACATTAATGTAAAGACAATTATACCTTAGTGAATACATTAATGTAAAGACAATTATACCTTTGTGAATACATTAATGTTAAGACAATTATACCTTTGTGAATACATTAATTGAAAGACAATTATACCTTTGTGAATACATTAATGTTAAGACAATTATACCTTTGTGAATAAATTAATGTAAATACAATTATACCTTTGTAAATACATTAATGTAAAGACAATTATACCTTTGTGAATACATTAATGTAAAGACAATTATACCTTTGTGAATACATTAATGTAAAGACAATTATACCTTTGTGAATACATTAATGTAAAGACAATCATACCTTTGTGAATACATTAATGTAAAGACAATTATACCTTTGTGAATACATTAATGTAAAGACAATTACACCTTTGTGAATACATCAATGTAAAGACAATTTTACCTTTGTGAATACATTAATGTAAAGACAATCCTCTGATCCTACAGGCTCTCCAGGGCTTTCATCTCCATACATATCAAACTAAAAATACAAAAAAAAATACAAAAATACAACATTTGATTTTAAGAGAGTATTCATTTGTATAGAGCGGTATGTCCGATTCACATCAGTTCCCATGTAAGCTTTATTTGATCAAGAATGTATGAGATATCCATCATCTTGTTTCGGAAAATTGGCCATTTTCAAAAATTGGCTCTGCTTTCTTTTAAATGACTTTCTCATGAAATAATGGAGGAAATTTTGAGATTGATTGATATATTATATTTACCTGGAGCAGTCCCTTTAATTGATATATTATATTTACCTGGAGCAGTCCCTTTAATTGAAATATTATATCTACCAGGAGCAGTCCCTTTAATTGATATATTATATTTACCTGGACCAGTCCCTTTAATTGATATATTATATTTACCTGGAGCAGTCCCTTTAATTGATATATTACATTTACCTGGATACATTTATTCCCAAACTTTGTTGCATCTCTAACCCCGGACCAAGGTTTGGCTGGAACTCCAGGTTTAAACCTTAACAGAGAAAGTTTTGATATGTTTGGATGTGTCGCTGTTAAAAGCAGTGCTTTCTTAATTTATGATGCAGATCTGGATGTGCAATCCTAGAGCCGCCATGAAAAAATGGATACTGACAAGAGTTTCCAGTGAAAAGGTTAAATCGGTTTGCAAATTATTACGCCGAAAATTTCGTATTTTTCACATTTTTTGCTCGCGAAAAATGCGAGAAATTTTTTTTGGTTCAAACTTTCGCTTTCATCTGTTACGCGAAAAAATGCATAAATTTCACTGAAAAAAAAAACCGAACATTTCAAGAAAATAATTCTCCAACAAAATTTTCTTCATCGAACATTTACTAAAGTAATGAAAGAGAAATTATTTAATATGATTTTATTAAACTTCTCATACTCAGATCTAAGAGCAGAGCATTCCACTAGATGTTTTCTGCAATTAATTGTTGCAGCTACAACACTTATGGTTTTCGCGGACATTTTTTTCGCGAAATTATTTTTTCATAACGAAACTTTAATACTAGAGAATGTCCAAAAAAGGGTATAGCAGGAAACTATATATTCTCACCTGAGGTCTGCTAGAGGGGGTTCAAGGTAGGGTATACCCAGGAAACTATATATCCTCACCTGAGGTCTGCTAAAGGGGGTTCAAGGTAGGGTATACCCAGGAAACTATATATTCTCACCTGAGGTCTGCTAAAGGGGGTTCAAGGTAGGGTATACCCAGGAAACTATATATTCTCACCTGAGGTCTGCTA